TCTTTTGGTCTAACTTCGGCAGTGGCAACTTCGTTGTGTATTTTGTCGCGGCAACTGTAATATATTACGAGTGCAAATTGAGTATCTTAAAGATACGAGAATTCGCCTGATTCCCTAAACACTCCCTTACCGCTAACCCTCCTCTCTCACTGACAGTTGCGGTAAAGCTCGCATGTTTGCCAACTACTGCGATAATTGAAGGCCAGCAAACACGTCGATTTGAAATAAATAAAGAAGCACAAAACGATTCGGTATAGAGAGGTATATGTATGTATGTACTTATATATATATTATATATATAGTTTATTGCTATATACCAGTATTAGAAGTGGCAATATTGACAGATAAAAATAAAGAAATTTGTCTATATTCATGCATAAAAGTTAGTTTTAATACTTAAAGTGTTTTTTAATTAGTTATTTTCCATTACAATAAAATTTCGAATAAATGTTGGAGACAATCAGCAATATTATTAACCTCAACTAATTGAAAGTGAGGTTACGCCTTAGCTACTATAATTAACTTAGTACAACAATATTTCGCTTCTCTTTAGCTTATTTAAATATTTTTAGAACGACACGTAGGAGTACAGGCTAAGGCTTAACACTTTTCACTCAAAATGAAGTCAAAATACTGACAAACAAAAAACATTAACTTCGGTTGCATCGAAACCATGTATAATAGTAGTGTGAATGGCGGCTAGCGATGTTTATCTTGCCGATATCGTAGGAATTCTTACTGCACATTGTCCAATAGGCATGCATGAGGTAAAAATCTTGTCCAACGTTGTAGGGAAGAATGTGAGGTGGAAGCCTCCAGGCACTTTCTCCTCAATTGTTCAGCTTTGTGGTTGGACACCTCGGCCGTCATACCTTTGGCGAACCAAGAGCCATAGCCGATACTGGCATTCGTCCCCATAATAAATGTGTAATAGGCTCAAAACGCTTTGTCGATTTATTATGATCAATTACAGAGAAGTTTTGAGTATCACAACGGTCCAGCTTTCTAAGCTATCCAAGAGGGATATCCTGTTAGGATTGACTTACTAACCTCTAAATTTGTTTTTATCGATAAAAAATACTATTGAAATACATTAAAAAACTATATTAAAACTTTTATAACATCAAAACTATTTAAGAAGCCGAAATTAATATTTATAAAAGTTTTTGTTAAGCTATATTTTATCAAGCTTTCCATTAAATAAATAAATATAAAATACATATATACATATATATTTTCAAACAAATACTTATATATATAACATATTTATTAGCCCCAATAGATTTTTCTATTATTTCCTCAAAATATTTTTATTCTTCGTTCGAAAGCATTGACCTTTGAACGGACAACAAAGCGTGAGAATAATTATCATAAACAATAAAATTTAGCATTAGTAACCAAATGGCGAATGGAATGTGCACATAAACATATATGGTATGTGGAGCATATTTATGCAGTCAACTGTGTATATGTATGTATATAGGTATGTAAGTGCACATGTAAGAAATGCATTGCTGCAATTGAAACAGCTGAAAAAGCACGCACGCAAAAGTTGAATGAACGAAATATTTGCTTCGTAACATAATCGCGAGGGGAAGCCTTAATTAATAAAGTACATGTGTAAACAAAATCACAGATACATATGTACATGTTCTAATAATTATAATAATTAAATGTGTTAAAATTATTTAATACTTTTTTGTTTGCGAATAAAGAACATCTAAAAAATCTCTAGAATTGATATGATTGACAAGTTGTTTTTGAATAATATTTTAGTGTTTTAATTTCAATCATTTTTGATATCCATTCCAAAATGTTGAACATGACTAAGTCTCCAAATTGCATATGCATGTAAAAAGTTCGTTTGGTTTTGTTTATTGATTTTTCAAAAGATGATAACATTTGTCCGAATTAAGTCAAATATGTGCCGTTTTGTTCGTAAACTTGTTGCCAACGAGATGCCAACTTCATTATACCCCTCTCGTAGATGACTGCGTCCCTATTGGCAAAAAACTCGGAGAGCCAATTTTCACAGGCCTCTCTTTCATTAAGCACGTTCGCCATGTACAGGAAAAGATGGTAATCACTTGGTCCCAGGTCCGGACTATAAGGTGGGTGCATTAGGACCTCCCATCTGAGCTCCCGGTGCTTCTGGCGCTTCACCAAAGACGCGTGAGGCCTGGCGTTGTCCTGATGGAACACAATTCGGCCTCTGTTGATCAAAGATGGCCTCTTCTGGATGAGGAGGGATGCCTTCAAGCGGTCTCTTTGTTGGCAGTAGAGGGCCGAATTGAGCGTTTGGCCATAGGGGAGCAGCTCGTGGTAGATGATGCCACGCCAATCCCACTAAACACACAGCAAAACCTTCCTGGCCGTCCGGTCTTAGTCCGGTCTTAGCCACCGTCTGGGCCGCTTCCCCGAGCTTTGACCACGACCGTTTGCGCTCGATGTTGTCGTAAGGGACCCATTTTTCATCGCCAGTCACAATCCACTTCAGAAACGGGTCGATTTTGATGCAATTCAGCAGCGATGAAAATTCGGTCCATCATGTTTTTTTGCGTTAGTTCGTGTGGCACCCAAACATCGAGCTTCTTTTTGAATCCAAGGTTATGCAAATGGTTCCAAACGGTTTTCTGGCTTATCTTTCGTTCCTCAGCAATTAAATAAGTGCTCACGTGACGGTCTGTTTCCACCATTTCCATGATTTTATCGCAATTTTCGACGACAGGGCTCCCGACGCGTGGTTCATTATTGACATCGAAATTACCGGAACGGAACCTAGCAAAACACTTTTCTTCTACACGTTCGTTTACAGTATCGGGCCCATAAACTAAATTAATTTTTTCAGCCACTTTGGCTGCTTTTTCGCCTTGATCGAAGAAAAATTGTAAAATATAGCGAATTTTCTCTTTGCTGGTGTCCATCTTTGATGAGCGCTCACAACGTACAAACTTTTAGCGCGAATAAACACGTTTTCAGTGCCCTATAGTATGACATGATGCGACACGTAACACTAGTACTATGGACAATAACGCCATCTCTTAGATAAAAACCTAATATAATACATACAGATGTACAGTACATCAGGCATTTGATTTTCACCGAAAATCATTCTCCAAACACATCATTAAGGGGGAAATTCAAAAATGGCAGAGCGATGGTCAAAGCGAAATCTCAAAAAAATGCTATTCCTTGATACCTATTGTACTTAGCTAACTTTTTTTATTTAAACACGAATTTTTACGGTCGCGTTAGACAAATTTAATCTTTCGCCAATCTCTCTAGTTGTTATTCGACGATTTGTATCGACCAACGGACTTAATTTAATTCACATCGGCTTCAAGAACGAAATTTTGCAAACTAATTTTGGTATTGGCATTCGGTCAACACATCTTCTGCGTGCACATCACATAATTTTCGCTTTTCTTGCTATGGGTTTTCGCCTAAAAGTGGGCTGTGCCACGCCCAGTGTCTAATTTTGAACGCGGTTCCTATAAAGTCATCTCCAACCATCCCAGAGATAAAATTTAATGTCTCTGGTGTGTTTAGTGCTTGATTTATCGCGCTTTTAGTAGTTTTTAACAGCACCGTTATATGGGGAGTGGGCGGATTTGTCAACTATTTTCGCACTGTAGGTAGAAGTTCTAAAAACATTTGCTTGCAGTGAATTTTGTTATTATAGCATTACCGGTTTAGGAGATATGCACATTAAACCTATTAGAGGCGGGACCACGCCCACTTTAAAAAAATTTTAACTGCAGATGTCCCTCCCTTAAGTGATCCTGTGTACCAAATAACAGTCTTGTATCTTATTGCGGAGCTTAGTTATGGCAATTTATTTGTTTTTGTTTAATGGCGTTTTGTGGGCGTGGCAGTGGTCCGATTACGCCCATCTGCAATACCAACCGTCTCACGGTACCCAGAAACATGTCTACCAAGTTTCATAAAGATATCTCAATTTTTACTCAAGTTACAGCTTGCACGGACGGACAGACGGACAGACAGTCACCCGGATTTTAACTCGTCTCTTCATCCTGATCATTTATATATACATAACCCTATATCTAACTCGATTAGTTTTAGGTGATACAAACAACCGCTAGGTGAACAAAACTATTATACTCTGTAGCAACATGTTGCGAGAGTATAAAAATGTAAGTTAATTGTTTACAAACAAGCTTTAGTATATCAGCTGTTCAAATATAATATATAACGGTAAAGCGGTTAGGTGTGATGTTGGCTGCGAAAAATTACAATAAGATCAGCTGTTTTCATCAAATGGAATTACTTAGTGAACGACTCAATAGTTACGTCACATTAAGTATTCTTTTATTAAAAAACAAATATAATAATTAAAATGTAGCCTCGGTTAAGCTTTTTATTTGGACTTTTGTATTAATCAGAATTAATTACTTTACATTGAAGACTGACTACAACTTTTTTAATTTTTCGATTCGGACATTCCATTAGAAAGATATCAGGAATTTAAAAATGTAAGTATTAGCCACGATTAGTTCGGCAATTCTGCAACATAACATGCGATCTAGGTGAAATTGGGCCACAGGAGGAGAGTCAATGCCATGAAATAATCGCACATAGGGCTCCCTACCTACATTAAAAATTCGATGTTTACACCTCATCGTCTATGTGAGGTCCACTTCCCTCAACATTATCTGACGTTGTGGATCTCTGGTGTGGCTTCCAAAATCGTGCGATTTAACACCGCTGCACTATTTTCTGTGGTTTTATGTGAAGTCGCTTGTCTCCGTTTGGAAGAGAGTATTCGGCGCGTTATTGTTGCCGTACGGCCCTAATTGCTGCCAGCCGCGACAGTCACTTGTCTGAAATCATTTTATCTTTATAATAAAGCTAAATTATTGGTCATAACTTGAAAACCATCACATGTCTAAAAAAACACCCTTTACATGCCTTTACAAAATAATTTCTGTTTTCAATTTTTCAATCAATTATTTATTAGTTCTTTTCCTATATATTTACAGTTACGTTGAAACGACGCTCAGCGAAATTAAATTAGACAACGAAAAATACATCAACAATTTAAAGGAGAAACTGTAAAACTGTACATATGTATGTATGGGAAGATGGCAATAATGGAGGCACAAATATTAAATGAAATTGCAGAGAAAAGGCGTGAATGGAAAACCGAACTTGGGTGGCATATGAATGACGGCAACAAAACTTAAGGAAATGTGAACGTCGGCGCTGGCAGAAGGGTAGCGCTGCTGAGCGCAAACTGCGCGACGAAAACAACAGAGGTGTTAGCGAAAATGTCAGCAGCGTCAGGGCGAATGCGAAGGGATGGCGGAAGCAATTATTTGAACAGCCATGCCAATTGAGCACATGCGCTCACTTTCACTTGCGCTCTCTATCTCTCTTTCGACTAACTACGTGCGCTACAAACACAAAGAATGCAAGCACGCACACAAGTAGAAGATGCACTCATATGGAATATATTTGTTTCGTCGTTGCATTCGCCATGAACCGACAGTTTGAAAGTGAATTGAGTGCAGCGTTGACTTAACGCGAGCGGGGTGGTTGCTGCACACTGCCGCGCTCTTCGAAAGCAAATTAGAATGCAAGAACAACAACTGCATGCATTTACATATATACCTGCATATCTAGTATATATAAAAATATATATTGCTGGTATATAGCGCGAATATAAGGAAAATAATGTGTGCGTATAGTTGAAAACAAATATGGCGGACATGCGCAATTGCATTCAACTTGAACTTGAAATTTCATTATTTGCCAACGATTGCAGCTGCAGCCAGCCACCACAGCTATACAGACAGCTACAACAGCAACAGAAAACGAAAATGAAAACGAACCCGAAACAGACGTCCATGCAATCCCAACGTCCGCACTACACTACACTCGGCCAAGGAGCCCATAGGACACGGGTCCACATACATACATGCATACCCACATATGTATATATAGAAAACAGGAGCACAAGGACACAGGAGATTGCATAACACAACGCCAGTGAATCGGAATAGTCGAATTTGTGCGATTGCATCAGCAGCTGCCGGAATACACGGCTCCCGAACTGCTGCTTTTTGGGACTTTCGCAGCAGGTATGTATTGATTTGGCAAATATTTTGTGTGTAATAAGCGTAAAGTGTGTAAAGGTCAAAGGTTGAAAAACGTGCAAAAGCATTGTGTTCTTTTCTCATTAATGTGAAGAAATGTCGATTGTAGCGTGCCGCGAACACAATTGTTGACCGTACTTGTAATTTTTTAACGTCGAAAAAAGCTTGCGATATAGGAAAACAACAAAACTACATATAAATTTCACTTTTCAAAACTTTATTACGGTAGCGCACAAAGAGTGTAGCAATAAGAAAGCACGAAAGCAGGCGGAAGAGGAAGTGCAAATAGCGGAGAGTGCAGTGGGATGCACACACACAACCATTGTAAATAAAAATTGTTTGCTCTGAGCGTGGAAGCTCTCGCTTTTGTGCACACCCACAGAAATATATTATATTATCTATACGAGTATATGTCAATAAGCATTTGCGAGCGCAATTAATTTTGCCTACTCAAAAGCTTTCATCACTTAAGCTTTTAGCCGGCATGTTTTCCCAGCTGTGCTTTTGCTCAAATTCCAGCTTTTATCCACTTTCGTACGCTTTGGCGTGGGAAACAACATTTTCCCCTTTTTCGCTGTGTGGGTGGGCGCGTCAACGTACGTATGTGTGTGCATGTGGTAAGCTCCTATTTGTAGGCTATACTATACTCCCATACACTTAGGCAGCATCAAAATTACCCCGATAAGAGCGCTTCCCACTTTGACGCTGCATAACTACAGGAAAATGCGCCCAATTTATTCGATATTCGTCACATATGTTGATGTGCTCAACGCAGCTTGTGCCTGAAAAGTATGAAGAAGTAAATATGAAATTTAAACTTAATTAAAAAAAGTTGAAAAATTGATTTGAAAAAGTGGAAATGAAAGTAAATAAAATTATATATATGATTTCTGGAATATTTAATAAATATAAAGCATATTTGACCTTTGCCCTTTACTATAATTAGAAGTGAACTTTATTTTCGACAATTTGGCTTGTAACGCTTTAAAATCTATAAATAAAAGTGTCACACCAGCGTCGAAAAGGAACGCTATTAATATAGAAATATATATAAAAATATACATATATATGTGTCAGTTAAAGATGTGTGCGTGTTTTAGATTCCTTACCACAAAAAATGCGATTTTGTCGAAGTTCGTGTGCTTGAATGAATAATAAACTTAAGAAGATTAATTGCTTAAAATAATTGAGTTGTTGGAAATCAAAAAAAAAAAAAAATACCTTATTAAAAATAAAAAAACGACGAGAAAAGCTGTCCATACGGTATGCTAAATCAAGTGACGTCTAACATTGATTTCTACAATGTGTACGATTAGAATAACGCTGACGTCGATGCAGCAACAACAAGTTGCTGTTATGTCATGTTTGTGTGTGTGGGTGTTGCTGCAGCAAGGACAAGAAAAATACCTAACGGGATACTAATAGAAAAATTGCACTAAAAATTTGAGGCAAGGTATTTCAAGTATAGCTATAAAAAATATTTCTAAAATGACGACCAAACCTCCAAAAACTGGAATAAACTACTCAAAGGAAATGAATACCTACAAGAGGATATCACAGCATTTGGATTGTGTGGAAGCAATCGATAAAAAAAAATCTTAATTAATACAAAATAGTAATTATTATATAAAAAAATGTATACTGAAATTAATCGATAGCAACTGGTTTTTAAAATTATCAATGTAAATCGATATACATAGTTGTTCTGTAATTAATCGATAACAATTGATACATAAAACTGTCGGTATAAGTAATCGTTTCCGTAATTAACTGCTAGAAACTATTTACAAAACTATCGATTATTATGCTAAATTATCTAGCAATAAAACGGTAATTATGGTAAACACTTTATCATTCTCCGAACTGTGCACCCGACTTTGTAAGTTGATTTGAATTATGGATTACACTTTGAGCTTTTCACTGGCACTTTTAATTTTTTCTTCAAAGAAAATAACAATACTTTAATGAAATAAAATACATGACCATATTGAAAACGAAATATGCAATTTCATAAATCTACGATAAAAAGCTAGATTTTAATTCGTAAATTTTATTTTTTAACTAGCAATTGTTTCAAAGATGCCTTCTAAGGCTCCATAGGCACATACAAAACATCCAAAAGTACAAGTATATATATATATAAATGATCAGCATGGTGGGCTAAGTGGATGTACCCATTTCCGTCTGTCCATCTCTATATATACGAACTACTAGTTTGATGAGATATCTCCACGAAATTAGCAATAGATTATTACCTTAAGTATCGCTACAATCCGAAAATGTTGTTCTGATCAGACCACTTTGATATATAGCTGCCAAATACACCAACCGATCAAAATCAAGATAAAGATTTTTTTAATATTATTTTATAAGTCATACAAGTCACATTTTCATATCGGAAATACTCTCATAGTTCAAATTTGTTCCACAAAGACTAAAATGCTGAACTTACGAGTAGAAGTTACATATTTCACAATAGCGATGTACTTGCTTATATACCATTATCTGATATGAGCTCTTAAAGTGGTTCGTAAATCCAGGGCAACTCTCCCCGCGTAATGAACCATAATTCATATTTCGCTTGCGAAAAGCAGAATAAATGACGCAGTATGATAAATATTTTTTTTTTTCTGAATCCAACTATAATTATATAGGATTGCTCATAAATTAATAGTGAATAGAAGAAAAGAAGAGTCGGAACTACTTTGTCACTATTTAAATTCACTCAATAAAATCTCATTTAAATCGCATGCTCATGTGATACTCTGAGTGATTTATGTGGACGAGCAAACGAAGCCGAATTCAGTTCGAAATGAGCGTCGAGCCGAAAAAAAAGCTCGCTCAACCACTTTACTTATAAGAAGCACAGTCTTCTGTTTTGGTTTTTGTCATGGCTAAAGCACACACCCACACAAACACACCTATACAAGCGTGCACACAAAGATGATTAAAATATAATTGAAGGGAAGTGACGACAAGCTAAACTTTCGCTTGAGTTGTTACAAGGCGCACCCACACACACATAATAGTGGCAGAAGTACGCGCGTAAAGAAGCTCCACGCTTAAGGGAAAGTGTTGTGAAATAAAAACTATACTGAAAAAAAAATAAAAAATAAAAAATGAATCGTATGCATCTACTGCCGGGATACACCCTGTGCTCGCTTCGTAAATGTTCGTAACCGAGTCAGTGAACACAGCTGGTGGTATCTCAGTGGTGGTTGCATGTGTGTCAACGACGAGCGGCGGCAATGAATTATTAAAATATTTGTTTTTGTTAACAAACATATATGCATTTATATCAAGGGCAGCAGCAACAACAACACCACTACTCACATAGCACGCACATACATACATATACATATGCTGTATGTGTGTATCCTGCTGAGCTATTGTGCACCTGCAGGTGAGTACACGCCACGCATTTTCGCTTATCATTTTCGTATAAAGTAATTTTATTTTATTACACATACTTATTTTATATATTAAGTATAAACACATTAACATATTTTCCGAATATACGTATAGAATAAGCTGCAGAAATTTTTGTTTTTGGTTTTGTCTAAATTTTAAGTATGCGTTTTTCTTAGTACAACTACATTTAATTAATTTCATGCGAAAATATAAGAATTATTTCAAAAAATTTAAAAAAAAAAATTGGAAAATAAGAAAATTTTTTTTAGAAATTAAAATTCTAAACAAAAAAAATGTAAACAAATTAAATGAAGTTAAAGCAAAATTAATTTTAGAATTTGTAGTTTTTTTTTTAATTTTAAAATTAACTTTTTTTTTAATAAAAAGAAACGAAAGTCTAAAAATTCAATTAGTGAATTTAAAAACTGCATATTTTCAACATAACTTGTACTTGTTCGATATTCTTTTCAGTTTCGTTCGATTCATAGCGTTTCAGCGTGTTGCATCTAACTGCTACTGCAACTATGAAAAATTAAAAAAATTTAAATTGTTCAAATCAATTAAATTTATATAAGTATATACATATATTATATATATTTATTGTTGAAGTACGAAATCAATTCATTATCAATTAGCGCCTAAGTTCACACGCCGCCTACAACATTGGATAATTGCTCTTGTACTCATTACCGTACTCGACTCGAAGATCATTCATCATTCACTTGTAGGTATAACTTGGCGCATGTGCGTTGCTTTGTGTGTGTCTGTATATTCAGTAGATGTGACATTTATGCACTTATGTAATTGTCAATGCCATTTAGTTGAATTCAATTCGTTTTACTTCGATTCGATTCACTTAAGTAGATTAAATTGGCATCTATTTGACATGCCCGCAGCGCTTAAGTAGAATGTTCTCTTCGGAATTCGTTTGTATGTGTGTATTTTTGATTTGGTTCGATGCATATGGAACATAAATTTTTTTTAGTTATGTGTATATGTACGTGAGTGAAATATGAATATGAAAATGTTTCAACCAGACACTGAAATCGAAATAAAGTCTTTTCTAATTTTAATCATTACCTTTTTTGAAATACTTGCTGTAGAAATAAGACCAAATCGTCTACATACTATGCAGCTAATTTTTGAGCAAAATTTCCAGCAATACATAGTTACCAATTTTACTTCTCTTTGTGTATTTTTTATCCGCTGAATTTCACACAAACTTATCAAATAAAAGGAATTGCCTTACTACTTCAGACAACTAAATGGCCAAAAGCACTAATCCCATTGTCAGTTTGAAAGCAGGAAATCTGTATTCAAAAGTTTTAAGCAGACTAGTTTTTTCGACAGTTTTTCGAAAAGAATTTTTAAACCAAACTACTCTCGCTATAGCTTACAGAGAAGCTTCTTTTTTCATTTACGTGAGGTTTTGAAATTTTTTCTTGCATGAGTTTTTGTTTCAAAATAATGTTATAGATGGTCTCGTAACCTGTAATAATATTCCCCTCTGAATTTTATTTTAGACTGTTAATCCGAAAAAGTCACACTCTGAATAAATCTTGGTAACTCTTCCATTGTAATATCAAGTGTAAGGGGAATTTCTTTATAAAACATAAATCATTTATTTTCCCCTTTTTCCAGTCCTCATAACAGTCGGATTAGTCTTTTTCAAAACGGAATTCCCGCATTAGAATTTTCAGTTTTCTGAAGAGCCAGAAGTCGCACAGAGCCAAATCAGGCGATTGCGGAACGCAGTATGACATGGCTGTTTGTCACCAATTGAGACTTGACGCGTTTGAGACAAAAAACATGACATACACAGAATAGTTTGGGCTGAGCCAAATGATTTTCCAACACTAACGGCGAAATCTCTAATTGTCAATAGAGGATTTTCAAGCACCAAATCTGTGATTTATTGTTCTCGACATCTAGGTCTGAAAATTTTCTTAGCGTTCAAATTTTAACCATGTTTTTCCAACAAAGCCGATCAGCATAAATCATTGACTTATAGATCATTTATTAAAAAAAGTCGATTCATATGTTTTAGGTGGCCAATACGAAGTCCCATTTCTTAATATAATTTATTCACCAAAATAAAATAATTCTCGATAAGATGATGCTTTCACGCACTATAACGCTTTTCTGGTGGAACATTTTACAGTTTGGCTATGGGAAAGAAAAAAGTAACAAATTGTTTACCTGTACCACTTTACCACAGTCAGTAACGGTGAATGTCTACCAGATACGCCTTGTTCCTTTTATTTACTAAGCATAAATGTCAAACACATGTTGTTACAGGTTGACAGCTGATTTAACAGCTATCACTCGAAGAAATTTTAAATTTGTAATAGTTGAATTCAATGGGTTATATTCACTTGATAGTCAAAAAACACAGACTTTTCTTGATTTTTTTATGAAAAGATATTATTTTATAAGTAATTCAAAAATATGTAAATTTAAAAAACTTAATGTACTTCAATAAGCGGCAAATCATTTTAAAATATTCACTAAAATTATTTTAACTCCAAAAGAGCTTCAAAAATCGAAATTCCTATATATATATTTTTTTTTTTAAGTTAAGCAACCGTTTCGGAGAAATTTTCCGCACTCACACCAGCCACCTACCTTAATAGTTTTGTGAGCCAATTTCACTAAATTAAAATATTCTTACAAATACTAAGCTCATATCTCGAAATTTAAATACGATGGTGTACTGACGTTCGGTCTGCCGACTTGCGTACTCCATTTCGCTAACAAAGTAGATTTTATTTAACCCTATGATAGTAAAAGAGATAATTATACAGTTCAACTACTCGCCAGATATTTTTTTTTTGAGTACGCAAAGCTGAACTAAGCACGAACACATTCTGTGTACTGAGATAACATAATTTATATTAGATATGTATTACATAAATTATTATTGATACAATATTATTTACATATATTAAAATTACTCTATGAGCCGTAAACATACCGATCGCTAGCTACTCTTTTAGTCTTTAGTACCATATAACATATATAAATTGATGCTTAATTTAAAATAAAAAATAAGTCCAGAATTCTAAAAATTGTGAGCTTCCTTATTGTTCCTTATTGTGAGCTCATGATAGAGCGGGTAAGCAGAAAAACTTTTTCCATTCACAATTTACTCGAATATATATTACATATATGTAAATGCTCAATATTTTGTTTTAGTATCTACTTATATCAGCTTAGTATTGGAGTTAAAAAGAAGTACAGTTTATATTTTCTGCTGACTAAAGTCTTATAATATGCTGTTTGAGACTAAAGCGGAGGAATAATGGCCTTAAGAATTTCACCACGTGGACATCCATGTGTATGTATATATTCGAAAGCTTTACATTCTTTAGCCTAAATTGATCTGACCTTAAGGCAGCGAAAAAAATAACTTTTAAGTTAATAAAGTAATAGAAAACGTTGGCGCCGTACCCATTATTTAATAATTGCATATACCTACATATGTGTAAATTTAATACACTTATTATTTTACCCATAACGGCCCAAATAACTGAACTCGTCGAAATAGCGTTTTCTACGCCAGCATGCAACATTTAACGCTGCAACGATTAATGCGCTCCAAAAGCAAAATTCCACTTGCTCATAAATTCAACAATTGAAATCCATGTGAATGCATTAAAATGCACAAACACATGCCATTATATTATTTATGTACTTACGTATATATGTATTTACAACGTATTTAATGTGTGTCGAACAAATACTTCGCTGCTGATAATAAAAACGCTTTACAATTATGAAAGTTGAGGAAAGACGACCGGAAAAAAACTAAAAGAGCACAAGTAAGGTGGGGCTAAGTGCGAGCCTAAGGCAATTTTATGAATTCTATACTACCATTGAAGTACTGTTTTTTGAAATTATTTAAAATTTCCGTGCTTTTAATTTTTAAATTTTGAAAATAAAGCTGATTACGAGATATATATATTACATATGCGATCATACGCAACATTCGCGTCATAATGTTGCATAATATAAATAAACTTTTCAATATATTAATGGTTCTTTTCAAAAATTTGATGTATCATACCATACCAAAGAAAAAAGATATTTCTCCGTTTTTCGAAGTTAACCTTCGAAGTTAACATTTGCCATCGAAGTTCAGAATTTGGGTTATTGAAAAACATCAACATTAATTATGATAAGTTTTTACAAAACAAAATGAAAATGTGGGCAGATTTAGATTTTTCTACTTATTTCAATAGTGTAAAGCAATTTTCTGGTAAAGCTTTTATGTGACGGTTACATACTATATGGGATCGGTTAATTCTTCGAAGGAAAATAAATATTTTTAATTTTTAAACTACTGTCACAATTTAGACCATTTACATTCGTTTGATAAGCTTGTGTAAATGTTACACACTACTAAAATGAGATAGATACATGAATGATATTAATATTTTTAAATTTACTGACAACGCAAGGTAAATGGAAAACAATTGTAACAAACAATAGTATATAGATATTTATATTTGCTTAAATACTAGCAAAAGCGGGTAAGAATACATATATAGTGGATGTAAAAAACTTAATAAATATATATACTAAGAATGTACAATATATATTAGTATATATTATATGTATATATGTATATAGGAGTACACTTGTTACAACACTTTTAACATGCTTTTACCATATGCTATCAATAATTGTTTTTGCAATCACCAAAACACAACTAACAATTACTCTTAGTATCTACGAGATAAATTCGAACACATGCGCTACTTATACAAATGTATATACTTGTATGGTATAGATATACAGCTATTTTGATAAAATTTTGTTGGCAACGATAAATAGTATTTCAGTTGTGTATATTCACTATTTATTGGCTCTTCGTCAATTCGCCCAAGCATGCGATTGTTTGCAGCTTCCAATTGACATTGTCACACGAGCGTTCATTGAAACCGCTTGCCCCCGCCTAACCATATTAGATTATAAATGCAATGAAAATGCACCCTCTCTTACTGTTGACATTATCTGTCAACGTTGTCAGTTTGACATTAACTTGTTCCCACATTTCCACTGCCTTTGCGTATGTGTCGAATTTCCATTTTCTTTCTCATACATTGTACTATACAAGTATGTGCAAAATTAATCGTTCAGTTTTTATAACAGCTGCATGCAAAATCTAATAATAATACAACTTTGAACATGCGTTCTGTGGTACCCTGAAAAGGTTAATTAATGTTTCATCTTATTTTACAACTTTTGAGATATGACTACGAATATATCGTATTTAAGCATTCTATTTCTAACCAAGACCTACTCATTTTCACCTCTGTTAGAAAATAGTTCTGTGTGGCTTTACGTTATGTTGTGATTTCCAAGAAAATTTGATGTTTCAACAAAATAGTTAATCTCACACATATTCTATGCAAGACCGAACTTCTCTTGTCGCCTCTCATAGAAATCAATATAGAATCCTGTAGAAATCTTTTGACTTCTGAAACCATCTGTTCTTGAGTTTCAAATGAATGCACCTGTTTCGAAGATCTACAAATTTTGTTCACTTCAGATACAGATTCTATTAGACAGTTAGTCAGAGAGATATACATTTTTAGAATCGTTAAAAATTTTTTCCAGAATTGTGCTTAGTGAATATTCTTGCGCAATAACTATCGAAAAATACCTATTTGTAATACGCTCTTAACTATTTAGGAATGCCTTGAGACTCGTATCGATGTTATTTTATATAGATGTTTACGACACAACAACCACCCACACAGTGCCCCAATAATGCTCTTATATTATATATATACGAGCATATGCTCAGACTAAACATTCCGAAACCTAGCATTAGCGGTATTTCATAAGTAAGGGTGCCTTTTGCTATAAATAAAACGGAAACAGTTAAGCACTATTTGGTCATTTGCTTAAAAACTATTGCATAGTATTATTTTTTACCAAAATATCTTCGTATACAATCTCTTTGTGATTCAAATTCAGATTATCTCTGTTAACATTTGCTGTCTATTAGTTAAAAATAAATAAATCAAGTCAAGGGGTCAAGGATGCCAGCACAGCTAGTAAGTATGCAAGTGTATGCTTATGTAATAAATACTTTCGGCTTATCGGCGATATTGTGTCACCACTGCGGGCCATTTCACCTTCAGCCACTTTTGGCAAACACAGAAACTTTTGGCAAACTCTGCATCAAATACAAAGAACTCACTTATGTATGTATGTGCCATGTGCATTCTATGCATACAAGTAATCTGGGTGTCTTCACTTGGTATATGTTGGTATTTTTTATGGCGACCTTCATAGATCCTTAATGCACAAAACTAAAAGTAAATGTCCTACTTAGTTTAATTTTAAAAAAGTTCGAAGGTCGTTAGAGCGAAAATAAACGTTTCGAAGCATACAAGTTGTACACAGTTGGAGTGCATAGAAATAATAAAAAACGAAACTAAAATAATTAGAAAGAAAAACAAATTTCTAGAAAGAATGTACGGAAAATGTAGTTCAAACTTTGGTTGACTTTAATATAATTATGATCACTTTTCACTTCTTATCTTAATAGATTTTTATAAACTATTTTGATATGAAATATTTAACACAAGTCTGTAAGTAGTCAACATCATTCATAATTTTTCCTAGAGATTTGCTAATAGTATTTTTTATTTTTTTGAAATAATACCCAGGCTTATAATAAATTTATTAAAAATCGTCTCTAAATTCTCACAATTTTGTCCTTTCAAACACACAAATATATATATTTGTTTTTTTCCCTGTATATGTATATCCGTCCGTACCTGGGTCCGGAAATCAGGAAGGTTTCATCTTAAATGAACTTCCACACGATTGTGTAGCGATTGTGGAAATAGCGTAAAGTAAACAAATTTACACTCTATCTTCTATAAAACTCTATATACACCGATTCCCGAGACTTCACCAGCATCAATATCATTTTTAGGGAAATATAATGTAAGGAGTCGTGAATGTTGAAGCAGATTGATGTTCCATTATATTCATGTATGGGGAAGACTAAGCAGAAATTGTCTAATATTTCTCGAAGTCAAAGTGCTTTAAAAGTTCAAATGTGAAGATTCTACGGTAATATAATATTACAGCTACTCCGTCACCACTGGCAATATTTATTGTCTATCATTTGCCATTTTATTGCCACATAAAAAATATCTCGTTTGAATTGAGGAAAGTTTTCTCTGTAGAACACCTCTCCAAAAAGAAATTCTGGATCCGCTACTGAGTAATATGCTGTATCCATCACTAATATTAACACTGATACTACTAACGGAACAAAAGTTGTGATCTTTAAAGACATAAAGCAAAGCTCAGAGTTCTGTGTAAGTTATTATTGTCTAACTTGTTAACTTCTTTCAAGCTAAGCTAAATCATTTGAACTTTATTTTTGACTATTGTCAACGTACAATACATATCAGCACACATTACTTCGCCATTAAAATTTACTCCCGTCATTTGTCCTTCAAACCTTAATTTATATTTGATCGATTAAGCAGAACCTTCAATCGCTCAATTCTTCAACGTTTAGAAACTATCAAAATGCATGAAATGCATTGTTTTCAATTATCTCACGAACTGCCGAGTGCCCTAAAAATTATTGACATTCCACATATCAGCGCGCAGCAAAGTTTTGCAAAGAATGACATTGAGCGGCAAGGCTTTCATGGGTGAAGGTTGCATTTCTGTTGTTGTAAGCTGCTGATTAAGCTGCCAGTGCTGCCAGCTGCTACGTCCCCCACCCCCATCTCTACTGTGTAACACATTCATTTATGCAGCTTTTGGCCGACTTTGCTATGTTGACAAGTCGACGCGTGGGCCCCTACCAGTACACTATATACTCAAATGCATACATACATACAAGGGAGGAAAGGGTCAAAGCTGCAAAGGGTTGTCAACGAAATGCGTTGCCGTTCATATTAGCTCATATAATGGTTGTTGGTATTGATTATATGCAGCTCGCCAAATGATCGCTATACAATGTAAATTTTTGTGTTCACAATCGATATTCTCACATTTGTTGTAAATATGCCACGTTGGTTCAAAACGCTTACTGTGACACTAACATACATACCTTGCGTTCTTTTCTACTTAGTTGCGTTCCTTTCTCACATTTATATTGTCTTTTTTTATTATTATTTGCCTAACGAACTCTCTCCCACACTCTCCCTCTCTCTCTTTCTATCTCTCTCTTCCACACGCTGCACAAACTAATGCATCACCTTGAAAAAAATTCTACACCGAAATTGTGCATTTTTGTTGCTTCCGAGTGACAGCGGACGCGACACGCGAGATGCAATGAAAGCTTGACATATGGAGAGAGCGGGATGCAAACTGTGATTATGAACATTTATATAAAATATTGTATAAATAACGCCTGTCACTAGCGCAGCAAATACATTTAGACGAAACTTTATTAATGTGCTTTAAATAACTGAAAAAAAGCGCGATTTAGCATATCAATATAAAGCTTTATTATGAGCGTACACATACACTAACGCACTTAGCTTTATTGGAAAAATACTTCCTGCTCTGTTAATAAAAGAAATAATAATAATAACAAACAGCAACAACTGTCTCTTGTCATCATCGTTTAAAACAGCTGATGAGTCGCGCTGCCACTGCAACTGCACTGAGAGCGGCGCCCGTCAACTGCATATATAAGAGAGTAAACCGCACACACTTGCATATTCAAATATTCATGTAGTTGCGCTTGATGCGTAAAGCTCGCTGAAAGCTCTAGTCTTCATGTTCTGCTAACTAATTCACATGACGGACGATAGCGCGAGAGCGCTTGAACGCCAGAGAGTGTACGCTTGAGCTTTTACATACAGCAACTAGTGGGCTCACAAGCGTGCAGCGCGCTCGCCAACTTAGTCGTTGCAGCCCAAGCTGGACGGTGGCCTTTGCTGTTTAAAGTTTTGAGTCGCGCAACGTTAGTGGTCGAGAGTGGTGGCAAGTTGAAGCGCCGCTGCAGTTACGTGTTGTAATTTTGACGTAAGCGAAAAGCAAAGCAATAACAACTGCAGTGATTTGGTATTACACAGAGTGGCGCAGTGTGTCAGCAGCGAGTAAATTTCTGCTCGCGCTGAAAGCTTGTATTAGTACAAACGCTCAGATTTTTATTCGTTTTTGTTGCTTCTGCATTGGCGCTGCAATACCGTTGGGGATAGAGCGCTTGCAACATTGCCACAGTGCGCTTAGTATATTTCACCTTAGACGTCTTTGGCGCTGACGCAGTCCGGCACTGAGCCAACACTACAGAGCGCGCTAACAAACAAAAAAAACAACACCATTGCTGCGCCACACAGCCATTGCCACATTGTGACACCGTTGTCACATTTCTAGCAAATTGCATGCCTGTAGTTGTGCTGTTGTTGTTGATTTGCTCTTGCTCGTGGCGCACTCGTTTGTCGCGGTCGTCTGTATCTACGTACGTACGCTTATAGTCTTCGTGCATCGCCTGCCATCAGACGAAGAGGCGGCCGCTCGCTAGCCTTTAGCAGTCATTGACGAATAAGCGGTCAGATGGGTGGTTGTGATCCGTTTGTGGCGGTTGGGCAAGTGTTTGCGCCCATTCATTTACAAGAGTCAAGCGAGCGCGTTTCAGTGTCCGTTTGTAAACAGTTATTTTGTGTATTGTATGTTTGTCTGTGCGAACGTACGCAAGGTGGCCGAGTAAAACAAAAAACGAACGCATTAACATGACAGTGAAGGTCAACAATGTACGTAAAGCAACGCGTTTGCGGACAGCGCTGCGCTTTCGGCCAAGGCAATATTGCAAGCGCTGTAACACAAAACCAACAATACAACAATAGCAAGCAATAAATGAGTGTCCTTAAAGCTGGATAATAACTACAATAATGCTGAAAAACCAAAAATGTAATAAGAAAATCGTGTCTCGTCGCGTCGTGTACTCGTTAAAGTCTGTTCAAAACCCCGAAAATAAAAATATCGGCTAAATTTGTACGTTTTACCAAAAAGGCTAGAGGGAATTGCAGCGTTATGCTTCTTTTTCACATGGTGGTTTTGTTGTTGTTGTTGCGCTACACGCACACGAACGCCATCGCGTACCTAGAAAAGTTAACGAAAGCCAACGACAGCAACAACGCGTTGGGGGCGACGGCGACGGACAACCACGAAGCAGTGAAGAAGCAGCCATGGCCGCTGAAGCAATTCGAAAAGCGTACAGCGCGCAAGAAAGCAGAAAGTAGCAGCGGCAGCAGCTGTAGCGGCACGCGATTGCACTTTCCTCGAGTCAGTCGATTGTCAGTGTTGATTTATACGCCGACTCAACAGCAGCAATAGCAGCACCAGCACCAGTCGCAGCCAGTACAAGTGACAGGGCAAGCATATAAGCAGGCATTTAAGCAAAGAGTCAAAGCTAAAGAATTCGAAAATCATAAGCATTCATCAGCATTTAGCCACTGTGTTAGTTGTTTTATTACAACACTTGCGGCGCTAAACGTTGTTCATATTAATTGATTGTTTGCGCTCGCAATCAGTAAGCAATATTTAGCGAGCGCTTGATCTACTATGCAGTGTACAATTTCGATAAAAAAAATGCATATATTTTTTTTCAAAGTGTTACAAGTGTATTTAAATTTTATCTTTTCAATTTAAAAACTTCTTATTTTGGATTTCAATCTGCGAGTTGCTCAAATATCACTTATACGCCTATGCATATCAGCTGTTGTTGAATTCGAGACAGCTTGTGCCATATAACGTTGACTCGTGCATGTATGTGTTTGTGTGTGTGTGTATTTATCATATTTATGAGTGTGTATTTATGACAAGCATTTGTGTTAGTTTCGAACACGTGATCGCTCGAAAGCGTCAAACAGAGCGTAAAATACCCATAAAGACTCATATTTACCAGCCTATAAGTGTGTGGTTGTGCGTGCATGTCTGTGTGAAATGTAGCGTAGTGACTTCATTAATAAGAAAGTCAGCCCGCACGCAACTACTTTTCTATTAAATTTTAATTAATTGCTTAAAATATCGACTTTTCTACTTCTTTTGCCGTATTTTTCGTGTGAGCTGTGAAATTCTGTGGTTTTTCACACGCTAAATCGCAACGTTTTTGTATTACAGAGCTATTAATTGTTGTTGATGCAGCGTTCATAACAGAAGTGTAGAAATAATTTTAAACAGTTCTGTATAATTTATTTAATACTTAGTGATCAAAATGGAATTTTCGGTAAATTTTCGCCTGAATTTTCGTGTGTGGTTATTAGGTGAAAAACTAATAATTTCAACTTGCCATAAAACCGCAAAATGCAAAAAAATTATCACGAAATTATACTTAAATTGTAGAAAAACACTTGTGAAAGCCAATATGGTGACAAAGTGGTTTTAGTTGAGCTTTTTTAACTATTCTATGAGATTAACTGATATGCAAACAATCTTTTTCAATTTGGAACCTTAGAACAGATTTTTCTCAAACTAAACACGGATTTTTGAAGGCTTAAAGAAGCTTTTCGCTAATTAACCGTTCTGAGATATATTTTTTATGTGAAAATTTTAGATTTTCTGTAGCTTTTTTGTTGTACAGAAAACTATCAAAGTGGCAAATGCCCTAAATCAAAAAAAAATATTTGAGTTTCCTCAAAAATAAAAAATTGTTCTTTTCAAAGAAAAATTTTAAAAAATTGTACACCAAAAATTTTTTTTTTCATATACAATTTTTTTAACTTACAAATATTCTAATACAATCACAGTTTATTTCAACTTTTCGTTCCCCAAAAATAACTTTTTCCATACCATTTCAAGTAAAATTTTCTCATAAATTTGCAACAAAAAATCATTTCAACTGAATGTGAAACACATTTACCAACTCAATATAAGTAGGTATTTTCTCTACTTTTCCACTACTTGCAAGGCATTTTGTGCGATTATGCAATAGCACCGCGTTCACCTTAGCGTTGTAAGTTGTATTTTCGTTGTTATTCCCTACATTTTGCGGCCGCTGTGTTTGTTGTGTTTATTTTGGTTTTTACTTGGTTGTTGTTATTGTCAGTGATGTTATTATTACAATTTCAAGCATTGTTGGCACAATTGCCATGTGTTGGCACACACACGCCAAACAGCTTAGCCAAGTTGGCACACACACACACACGCGCAAGCAAAGAAATGCATTCGCTGCTCATACACACACACACACGCATGTATACAAAAGCATACGTGCAAAGCTAAAGACAAGTGTGTGTGTCGTGAAATACTAAAATAAAATCTCGTTCACTAATTATTTTCTGCTTACATGCTTCAGAGCGATCTTTTTTCACAAACGAATCGGAAAAAAAACGACTAGAATGCATGCCAGCTTATTTTAAGCAGCTAAGCAAAACCCCAACAACAAAAAATGCAAGTAAAGCCCGCTCTGCGAAAAGTGGCTGAGTAGTAGCTGAGAAGTGTAGCGAAATAGCCGAAAAATAAACAGGCGAATGTATAATTAAGAAAGTATATGCGCATACAGAGGCACTAACACATATACATATATAAGTACATTTGTTGAGGAAAAAATATAAATTTAGCAAAATGAATTGCAGCCAGCAAAAAAGCGCTATCGATTCGTGTGGCTGCTTGTTGAAATGCCAGCCACAATGATTGCTGCACTAATGTTAAAACAAAAAACACAGAAACAAACAAATGTATAAGTTAGCTAACAAAAAACAGCAACCACAAGCGATTTCTACACTTTACACATGCTAACTAATTTTCACAGCACATATGTGCTGGCCTTCTTCACAGTCGATCACCAGCTGAGCGACAGGTGCATACACATACATATGTACTATTACATACTTACACAGTATATAGATAATATATAAATGCACAGCCATATATACTGGCAGCGTTTGATGTGTTTTATACATTTGCTGTGTGAAAAGTGTGTCTTTGCTCCATTGCATTTGTGAAATTCAACGATGTTGTTATTGTTGTTTTTATTGTGTGTTAAATCGCACTGCCGAAATGATTCGTTATGATTCACATAATTGCATTCACACAATTTGCTTGATTATTTACATAATGTGGAATACAAAATCTTTTGATATTTTTGTGCATGTGTGTGTGTTTGTGTGCAAATATGAAGCGTGTAAGTCAAACAGTCTGCCGTATTGCTGCATTCGCTTTTTTGTATTTTTTTTCTTAATAGAAATCAAAAGATCTAAAAAACTATTATTTGCTTCTGTAGTTGGAAAAATATTTCTATAGTAATTTATAGATGGGATTAGTATGAAAAAAAATTTTTTTTTCCAATACGAAAATAATTGCTTTCAAATGCTTATCAAATTACATAACAAAAGAGATATTATCCAGAGCATGTTTGCAACTTAAAAAATGTTAAGAAGCAATTTTTGCACTACATTTGGTCAATTACAAACAATATTATTGATACATTTTTGAATTAACAAAATTTTAATTAATAAATATTTAAAAAAAATTTGCTAACGGCTTGTAATACTCAATAAATAGAAATATAGCAGTTAAATGCTAAATAAAAATATTTAAAATCTATAAAAATATTGAAATAATAAATTTATGCTCTTTTTAAACAAAAGATTTTTAAAATTTAGATTGCTAAAATTTCAATCATTAAATTTATATCCGAAAAATTTAAGTAATTTTAAAGATTTTTAATATTAAAAACCCAAAAAGTAAATAAAACAAAAACAAATTTTGTCAAAAAATGTTCATCAAATTCAATGCAAAAACCATCTAAAAAATTATATAAAGCTTCAAATGTAGAGTATTAAAATTTTTAATAATTAATATAAAAATAAATATTAATTAAAAAATAACTGATATATAAGAAATATTTGAAAAGAGAATAACAATTTCCAAAAAAAAAAAAAAATTTGATTTCCAAGTTATTTAATTTAATGTGGGTTTTTGTATTCCAGATGTGTTCAGAACAGAAAAATGAAACAAAAGTTGCACCAAAAAATCGCATTTTAGACAATTTTGTTTTTAATTTATTCATCAAAATGGAGTTTTATGTTAGTTACAGCGCGCCGAAAACTTAAATGTATAGACATACATAAATTGCAGAAAACACAAGCTATCTTTTTTTAAGTTTATAACTTTTGTATAATGTAAGTATATAACATTGTTGTTTATTAACATTTAGTTTCTTTTATAACATTAAAAACCTGGAAAATATTTTGGAAATTTTTTTTCTATTGGTAATTTTTTTTTTCAATTTTAAGTATTTGTAATCGGATTTTGAGCAAACAATTCAAGTTTATAAAATATTTTTCCAAAAGTAACTCATTCAACCAACTGACAATTATGAGTTTAGTCGCAAATTTCGCCATTACCATAAATGACTTGCCCTACTGCCCTCTCATTAAAAGAAAATTAAATTTAAACTCACATTTATACTACCAAAATGACTTATAACATTTTACAACAACTAATTTCGCGTTTTCTCTAATTATTGTCAGTCTGATTGAAGCAATTAAATCTCTACACATTAGAGAATTCCACTCAATTAATATTCAATTACCTCAGCTAACCTAATACAACTGTATATGAGATCAAGTATTGTACCCCCAGTAACTGAGTTATACAATTCGCTATGACTGCATACAATACAGTTTTATTATATGAGCGCAATGTTTTGTGGCAAAAATATGTACTTCCCCCGATGAGGAGTGGAAATCAAAGATAAAAGTCAATGGGAACACAATAGCAGTGACTGAGTGTATAGTTGCGTAATATGAAGGGTTTGTAGAGATATATAAATGTATAGAATATATTTATACATATATATATTTTTGTAAAATATGTATACATATATATATGTATGTATGTGTGTGTGTGTGTTTGCAATAGAAACTGGCACATCTATGATGGCAGCAGCATTGTGAGCTTTTTTCTATAGCTAAGTTATGCATTTATACACATATAGACATGTGTGCATGCCTCAGTAAAGTGTGCAAACCCCAGATTGTATTGATAGATTACCAGAAAACACCAAAATCACTCGCTATATGTGCCTAGGTATATATGTTTAAGCAGTTAGCTAGAAATGCAATCTAAAATGAAGTTAGTTAGGAAATTCTCGATAATTTTCAATGAGAAAGAATCAGATGTGATAAATTATTATTGAGGGTAAATTTTTGCTCATACATATGTGCATATAAAAGTATGTACATATGGTATACAAATTCCACCTATTTTATATAGTTTGAAGTATATACTTAAACCAATTTTTTGGCCAAGTAGCTCAAAATATGAAAGAAAAATTAGAAACAATTAAATGAGAATCTCCATAAAGGTAGAATAACCAGATTCGCATACAGATATTTATGTTAAAAAATATTATTCATAAACACATTTTCAGCAAAAACTATTTTCTATCAAAGTATATACTAGACTCCTCTTATATTAAAAAAAACACTAGCAATAAGTTGAAAAAATTATAAAAATTCACTTCAATCATACATAAATGCAGCTGCAACTTTGAAATAACAGTAAAATAGGAAATAGCAATAATATTATTTATCTAAATGAAAACAAAGCATACGACAACTTGACCTTGCGGCAGTTTCATATAGCATTTAGAGATGCTTTGAAATAACAAGCTGCAAAATATATAAGTTATATAGCTGAAATGAAGGTAAAAATACATACATACGCAAGCACATACACACATACACACACCCAGCTGTCAGTGTTGCAGTACATGCATTGCTGGTGATGTCAAAAGATGTCTTTTATTTTATTTTTGTAAATTGAATTGCATGTACATACGAATATGTACGTGTGTGTGACATTGTGGATTACACGTGCATCACAAACACACGCGGACACACAAATGCTACTATTTTTGTATATATATGTATGTATGTACTTAGAAACCTTTATGTAGGTAGAAGCATGTCACGGCGTATACGTAATCAGGCAAGGTAGCCTGCCTGAGTTTGAGGTTACGTATACGCCACATGCCACTGCAGTGAAATGCACACATGTTTAGTATAAAGCACATATGTATGTATATGTTTTTATGAAATTTCAACTGACTTGTTAGTGCTCAATAGCGCACAGAAAATCAAGTCTTTTACAAAACACTCCCTTTCACCTGCGCGCCCAGCTAATTTTGCAGCGCTCTACTCTCTGCAACTACAACAACTACTGCAGGGCTAGTTAGTGTGTTTTCGCCTCTCACAACGCTGCTTGCTTGTGTGGCCTTCAAGTGAACACGCCCGCTTGCTTCAATTACAACGTTGTTTGACTAATAAACGTCATTTGGTGGGCTTGGCGATTGGGGTGATGTCGGTGGGTTAAAGATGCGATGTCAAAATGTTAGTTTTTGCATATATATATACTTATGTTTGTATATATTTAAGTAGGTGAACACAAATATGATTTAAATCTAGCTAAAAAAGCTACTTTTGTACGTATACTTTGAGCACAAGGTGTGAGCTAAAAATCATTCGTAGGCGTTTTTTGCATTTTATACACATATAAATAGTTGGTAATATATATTTTATAGAAAATTATATTTCATTGACAATAATGAAATTATATATACTACTGCCAGCTGTTCAAACATAATTAAATTTATCTAATTTTTGATGAGTGTGCAATATTTTTGTAATTTTTTTATTGAAATATTATTTTTTATAGCGCATCAAATTATTACTTTATTTATTTAATGCATTATAGTAAATGATTTAGTTATATTTATACAATTTCCAAGTTTTTGCAACCGCATCAAAATGAAGCAAGCAACTTAAATAAGGAATTATTAATAAATATCCAATTTGATTTTTTAAGTCCTACATATCTAGCTGCATTTCAAAGTGCCTATACTTGTTAAAAAACTAATTGTACTAGCATTGCACTTATTCAAAAATTGCAGTAACTAACATTTCCAATAATATTTTCATCTAACTTAGTCTGTTGCAGAAAAGTATAAATATATATTTTATTTATATATAACGCTAGAAAGTTAACAACCCACGCACACATATACACACCAGCCAGTGGTTATTGTTGCCTGAGTATTTTCACAAACATTCGCGTGGGTGGCACAAAACCCATTTGAAATCAAAATATCTACACCGCACACATCTACATGCATATGTATGTACGTGCGTATGTAAGAAGCGAAAAATTAAATATAAATATGTATGTGCCTACATTTGTGTTTTTGGCTTTATAGGCTATTTGCGTTCTATGCGCTGCCACTGATTCACCTACTCACCTAGTGATCTACATATATTTTCGTTTTATAAAAATATACTGCACATGCTGCCTCTGCACATGCATACATCCATATATACGTTTATATATGTAACTGCGTGTATGCATTTCAGCGCTAAAGTTTACAGTTGAGCACTCAAATTGACTACACTTGCTTTATAACGACTTTATGTTGTCATATATATATAAAAGTGTATATATATAAATATGTATATGTAAATATTAGTATGTGGGATGTCGCGCTGTTTATACATATATACACACGACTTTGTTGATGCAGTTTTTATACAGATGTTTAGTATAAAGTTTTGTAAAAAATTATTTACTTGCTGTTATTTCCGCTCCAAAGTTCGACAAAAAAGTTTTGTGACAGTATAAGTTTTTATAGTATAATATATTGTCAATATGTCAATATCAATATTGCAAACTAGCTCTTTGAGGTTATGACGTAATGGAGCAAACATTTGTGTTCTGAAATTATATGTCATTTGGAATGAATGAATGTTTTCAAGCATAGTTTATGAGCTTTTCGAGGTTTATTTTCAAAGTGGTCTAACCGATAAGTCATGGCTTTTGAAGCATCATATATGAATTTCTTTAACTAAAAATTATAGAATAACAAATTCTATATATATTTTTCCGTAGGCTGTCACTCTTCTATCTAACTTCTATCTCGTATTAAAAAGCGAAATATATATTCATCGTTTTCCATTCAGCGTTCCAGTTCGCGAATCTCAAAACTTACTAAATTCATTTTTAGAAAGGAAATGTATTTTGTTATCCTCACTGATTACTTTAAACTTCCAAAATATTATCTACTGAGATCAAAAAATGAATCATTCATCATACTGCCTAACTGATTTGTATTAAATCAGGATTAACTACTATGATTTCAAAGATAGATTTATGGAAAGAAAAATAATACATAAACTCAAAAACAATTCTAAACATTTGTATTATAATTAAGGCGGATGTAATTTTGAGACTTAATTTCAGTTTCGGCATACAAATTTTGAAAGATTTAAGTTTTTTGGCTTCTTGTACTTACAACAATTTACTTCTTATTGAGATCTGAAGTATCTAATTTTAGACCAGAAGGCATCTAAAATAGTGAATTGACTTCACTGGGTCTCTGTAAATACCTCACTTTTACCCTAAAGAACAGCTGTATGTCAAAATGAATACAGCTGCTAGCCAAAATATCCTCCATATAAGACATTTGAGTGAAAACATATGTGCTTAAGAGTCTTTTTACGCCATTTAAACTGCTGTTCTGAAGCTTTGCGAGAGAGACGGATATTTCCAATGCATTTTCGCAACTTTTAATATTTGACGAAATACTGAGATCCATGTAGATAAAATGAGTGTTAGTCTATGGGCTAAAGAGTCTGAATTTTAAGATTTGCTGACTGTTGTTATTTATTATAAGTTTATGAAGCATGATTCGATACAATTTAGATATGAGAGGCCTATATTCTATCCTTTTCGCTGTAGCAATTTGGTATGAAAAAACTGCTTACATATGCACATACATTTATAAAGTATATGTATGTGTATATATAGGTTTATACGTGATGATTCTGCAATCTATGCCTTCTCGCTTTATTTTCTGTCTAATATGGAGATTACTGCAGCTCTAAGTCATTTCTAATATGTTGTGGTCTATTGTGTCTAAAAATCTCTGCTTTACTCTTCTATAAACAAATTTAATTATATCTTTGGTAAGAAGCTATAAATTTCAACTCAATAATAGCCGTGCATTTTGTACTTTACCCAGAAATATGTGCTGTTAAAATGAAAAAAAAAATGTCATCAAAGCAAACGGTGGAAAAAAATGCTTCAAGACAAATGGTTAAAAATTCGAAATTTTAAAGTACATTCTAGAATTTTTGTTTGTAATTTTTTTGGAATATTTTTTGTAAATTATTTTATATACAAATATATATAAAAAAAAAGTTTAATTCTTAATTCATACATTTTTTTATAATAATTTTTTTTTAATTATTGGTTTGTTTTTTTAAAGCTGCTGCTTTTTGCGCATATTTCCAGCAATATCACTACCATTTCAAAAAACTTGTTTTATAAATCTACATACTTATACAAACGCCGCTGAATCACATACGAGTACATGCAATTATACATGTGTCGCTTGTCATTAATCAACAAAAATAAACAAATGTTGCAATTAACAGGTTTATAAAAATTTCAAGTTTATAAAGAGCCATGAATTTGTATTTTTAGGTCATCCAGCAGGCCACTTTTGCAATAATATTTAAAATGTTTTTTTGTGTCTGTATCCTTATAAAATAAAATATACTCTCCGCCGATCAATTACATATCTGTAATCCAATAAATTTCATATACAAGTATATACATACCATGTTATCGAACTCCATGCGTAATATTTGCCGCTTACAACCATTTCGCTGTGTATGCTACCACTAAAGCGGCAAAAGAAATAAATTTTTATATCGTTGCAATAAAATTGATGATAATGTTCACACATAAATAGCATTATTGCTGGTAATTACAGTTCGTTACTCAGTGTCAATGCAATTACTTGAATATTATTAGTAATTCTTTTTTTGAAAGTAATGAATAAAAGGCCACCCACAAGCAATGTTTATATAGCAAAATTCAATAAAATTTTTATTTGCATAAAAATTGAAGAGAATACGTAATTGCAAGAGATTTTTATAAATATAATAGAAATATTTCTATATACATGCTTCGGAATATGCATACATACAAGTATATAAAACATATACACATATAAATATATGAAACTAAGTTCAACGACTCATGACAGCTTGCTGGTTCGCGTAATCAACTGAACGCAGTAAACACATGCTTAGCCCCCTGTATGCTTAGCTAGCATTTTAATTTTTAGACTTTGTGTCCATATTGTATATACATATAAATATATATATGTGGGCGATAACATATCTACAACAATATATGTTTCATACTTTAGTGCCTGTAGCGTTTGCTATATTTTTCGTCGTCGTCTAATTTGTCAAATTATTTTTAGGCGTCGAAAGAATTTTTTATTGCGTAGCACTCGCCGCAACTCGCAGACGTTAGCTGATAAGAAAAAAATATATAATATACTTATAATATATGCTCGCAGGCGTCTTAAGTGCTTGCTTGTACACTAAAGAAGTCTCTTCAAGTGAAAAGTGAACTTTCCCAAGCAAAATTTACGCTGCTCCAATTTTGGTTTTTAAATAAAAAAAACTCAAGAGTTTCAAATTTGAATATTTGAATTCAAATTTTTGTATACATAATATAATATTTCTGCAAAAAATTTGCCGTGTAGCCGCTACTTTCATTGAGCAATTTCCATTTCACGCCGCTTACACGCCGCAAAATGCTGCGAAAATCCCATCAGCTGTTGGCATTTATTTCATCATCCAAATTTGTTGGGTTTTTCGGTATTTATTTTTATTATTATTATTATATAAATTGTTTTGACGCAACACTTACGCTTGCGTGCCATTCACGCCTCTAATGCGTGCTCTCCGTCACTCATGTGTATATATGTACGTGTGTATGCGATGTCAGCATTTTCGTATGCGCATTTTTTGTACTTTTTTTTATAAATTCTTCTACTTTTCTCCAACCAAGAATATGATATATCACTGCTGCTTAGGTACACGTGACATCATCATCATATAATCACTCATATATGACACATCGCACAACGTTTGAAAAAAAAAGAAATGCGCTTAAACTAATAGCTAGAACTTGTTTTAGTGCTGAGCAGTTTTTTGTTTAAAATATATAAAATATATATATATGAAAAATGACAGCAAATTAATTTGTAAGAAATAAATTGCTCATAAATAAAAGCGGGAAAATTGATGACATATTTTCTATTAGCCTGAGTCACAAATTATGGGTGTTTTGCAGTTTTTTTCTGCTATTATAAAGCTACTGGATTGTTTTCAAAAAAATTTTCGATTATAAATAATAATTTTAGTAATAATTATTAGTGAAAATTAAAAATCATGTAAGTTTTACTTTCTTAACTAGGTATGAGAAATTTTAGAATTTTTCGCTCAGAAAATAGTGAAAGCTTTGAAAAGGCTTTTTATAAAATTCCGTTATTTTGATTTGGTACCATTTTTTATAAAATTTCGAAATACAACTATGAACAAATAAGGTATATAATTCTCAACAGGCTTATATTAAACATATTATGAATTAAATAGGTTATTAAATTAATAAAAATACTTATTTAAACATTTTTTATGTTAGAATCATAATTTTTCTTTATAATATAAGCCTTTTTCTCACTTCGATTTTAAGAAAGCATGATAGAGCATACTTAATCATTGCATAATCGACCGAAATTTGAAAATGGGAGGCGTTTAGTGCTACATACCTTCTTCTTTTAGCCCAAAGTTCAAGATAAAGTTTGCCACGAAGTTTGTTAGCTTAGTTTTTTTATAAGATTTAGCCATCTATGTCCGTCTGTCTGACATCGGTCTATATATGCGTGAACTAATATCTCAGTTTTTGAGTTATCGAACTGAAATTTGGCAATCTTTTTCTCCCCAAGCAGCTGTCCATTTAACGGAACTGCTAATATCGGAGCAGTAAATCATATAGCTGTCATACAAATTCAACATTCAAAATGAAGTCCTTGTAAGGAAAACTTTTTTGTTTGACTAGACATTTTCACGAAATTTTACCTGGATTATTTTCCATGACAACGCTATAATCTCTGAATAAATTGTTTAGTTCGGACGGCTATATCATATAGCTGTCATACAAATTGACCAATCAAAATCAAGTTATAATATATAATATTTGTGAATGGAAAGCTACGGTTCGTTTTTTCTTGTTTAAAAACTAAATCAACTAAAAACTCATGATAATAGTTTTGAACCAAAAACCATCAAAAAATTTCGTTTTTAAACTCTTTTGTTGTGAATTCCAAGCTCCAAAGTAATTTTTATCTACCCTTTCCAAAATTTTATAATTTTATTTTATATTTTATATAATTTTATAACGAGGCTTTAATCAAATAAATTTAAAAAAAAAATTTCGGAAGACAAAAAGCAACAACAACTCGACCAAAATACCAACAATTACCAAGCTGGATACATTTCTGGCGCTCAAAGAGCCAACTCTCAATGCACAAAATGAAATCTACTCCCAAAAACGTACTTTAAAATAATTTTATTGTCAAATCATACATATTTTAATTATTTTTTTATCATTTGCTTATATTATGACAAGCATAAAAGCAGTAAATATTAATTTCTTGCAGCGTGCAAAGACTACGCAGCGAACTTGCAACGAGAAAGCAGCGAATGAGTAGTAAAATTGCTATTTTTGTTCTTGCAAACGCTTTAAAAAGTAATTATTTTGCGCACAATATTATAATTTTCACTCACTTTTATATGAAAATTTTCACCCACGCACACAAACGCACAAATGTATGCACACAAAAGATAAAGAGGTATGTATATAGTTGTGAGTTTACATTAAAATGCCATTTCAGTGCATATCAGCAGCGCCTCACTGCTTAAGGACATTGCATAAGTGCAAAAAAAGTACTTGCAATGTGCAAAAAAAGTACTGCGCTTGGATTGTTTTTCACATGACCTTCGTTGTAGAAGAAAGGTCACTTGGCGCGCTCAGCTGCATTTGCAGTTGTACCATAAAGTGCAGAGAGCAAACTGGTACCCCGCCATTTTCACCAACAACAACAACAACAATAACAAACTCGAACAGTGCAAATGTTTTAAACGTGTCGAGGTGCAAGTATTCAGCTGTAAGCGCTGAGGGCTTGCTATTTTTTGCACACCAACACAACCACATATATTTCATATATATTTATATATGTATGTGCGTGTGCACTCACACAGAAACACACTCTCATTCCCCTTGGCAGCCATATTATTAGCGCATTTCTATACCTTCAACTTTTTTTCGCACTTAAATGGTGTTTTAGTTGTTGTTTTCACTTTGTTGCTGCAACTATATGCCTTTTACATGTACACATAGTTTTGTAATTTAGGTCAATGCTATGACCCACTTTTACTTATAGTATAAACTTGCACTTGCACATTTGCATTTGTGGGTGGATGTATTATATATATATAGGTATGTATGTATGTACATATATATGTAGGTATGGTGTGTGATTGACTTATATGCACTCAGTATGACCTTAAATTTGTTGCAGTTCATGCTATTTTTCGAAGGTTTGCCAGCTTTTGGGTTTTTATGTCCTCAAATAAAATTGTATTAAATAACGGTAAAATGTGTGTGTAAGCGTGCAATCGTGTATGCTCAGCTGCCCTTATGGTGACAACCTTGATTTGAGTTTATTCCGTCTTTTTATCTCGCTTGCTTCAATTTGGTTACTGTTTTTGGAAAATATTAAATATTGTTGTTATTGTCAATTAAAGGAAAATAAATTGCAATATCGAAAAATAACGTAATTGCGAAAAACCGTTAGGGCATTTCAACATTTTTTTCCAAAAATAAAGTGCTTATAGACAACTGGCTTACTAATATTTCCACCATCATGTAAATATGTATATATCATATTGCATAAACAACAACAAAAATGCGTCAATGGGTCATTTTGTCAACATTTACAAAATACTAGACTAGCAAAAATTCAAAACAACTTAATTTTCCTGTCATTAGGCTCCAATACCTCACTTATTTGAGAGCTTTACAATTATTCACAACTATATTTATATATTTTATAATCCAACAACAACACTACTAGCAAATTGTCATCACTTTTAAGAAATTTATTGCTTTCGGAAATGCAATAAAGCAACAAAAATGCAAAAATTATGACACACAAAGAATTACATGCAGGCATGTGCCCATTTAGTACCTTAAAACAAACAAAAACAACAGTAAACAGTTGCATATGAATCTCATTGCCACACATATGCATATCCACAAGCAATAATGGCACACTCTTTTGGTACGAATAAGCAATAAATTGAGCGACTCTTCAAAGCTAAGTAGACAGCAACGAGTTGTGCCGATTTTCGACATTTACAAACTGCAAAAATCACAAAAGCAAAAACGTTACAAAAAAGAGCAATAATAAAACAAAATTTAACTAGCAAAATAGACTGCGAAATTCGCTATAAGCAAATGCAAAGGACAGCAATCGAAGCACCACGCTACAAATGATGGTACCAAAAATAAATACTTTGGCTGGCCTGCATCCAAAAACCCATGCCAATGCATTTGCTAAGAGAATTTTGCGCACAGGCAAGAAAAAATTAAGAGAAAAAAGAAAATATGCATTGCACAAGCAATAATACAATAATGGCTATTCAAGCAACATTAAATAAATGCTTTGATAGTGTATAACGGTATACTTATATATGGGAGGTGCGGTTATATGTAACAGCCTTGGTGTGGGTACTGCGGTAGAGAGGTCGACTAGTGGCGAACTAATATATTTTTAGTGAATTTCTTTTATAAACATGCACGCTGTGCTCCAAATGCAACCCTGCTTTCAATGAAATTTAATTCATTAAGTTCTGGTGGAAATTTAAAAATATGTAAATAAAATATTACAATGATAAGAAATATAAATCAAATACAATCTAATAAGAAAATAATTCATTATAACGGTCTAGCAAAATCCATAAGGTATTGGAAAAATAGTATAAATAAAATAAATTTAATTAAAAACAAAATAATAATAATAACGTACTAAAACGCAAAAAAAAATATAATGAAAAATTTTCCAAAATTTTCAAATTAATATTTTTTAATATATAAATAAATAAATATTGATATACAAATGTGCTTATGAAATTAAAAAACTACTTTACAAAAATATTCAAATATTCATTACCTGTAAGCCAAATTATTTGCGAAACATTTTGAAAACATCTTTACAACAAAAGTTTTAAATATATTTTTTTGAACAATATATTAATTAAAAATAAAACATTTATGCTATGAAAAAAAATAGTATATATATATTAATATAAAAAAATAGTATATTAAACAAAAAGTAAAACAAAAAAAAAGATAAAAGAAAATTTTATTAAAATAAATAAATTAATAAAATTCAGAAAAAAATAAATTAATTAAAAACATTAAAGAAAAATTAAGCATTATATAAACAAAGCTATAACATAAAAAATATAAAATATTAAACAACTCAAAAACAAATACAAAAATAAATAAAAATTATATTATATACAAATAATACAATAATAAAATAAACAATTAAAAAAAATTAAACAATTTTAAGATTAAAAAATACCGAAAAATTTTCACTTTTATTATATTATTAATGAAAATTAACATCATAGAAATTTTTTTTTATAAAAAATGACAGAAAAAATTTTAGTAAAAAAATATATAAACAAAATTAATTATTTAAATCACAAAGCATTATATAATTAATGAAATAAATTAAAGTTAAAAAAATTTTAATGCTTCAAATCGGCTTAACCATAAAGCAGCTTAATAAAAATCAAAACATAAAAATCTATGTTAATGTTAATAAAACTATACATCAGCTAAATCAAAAAATTAGCACAGTGGCTCAAATAATACTCAAGAAAAGCATTTTCATATTTTTGCTCCAACTTTAGAATATAAAATGACTTTTTTTAATCTCTAAAACTTCAAATATATCATATAAAACTCCTAGAGACGTTTAAATTTACCAAAAATGCGGACAAATTACAAGCTAGTACAAAAAACCTTCAACTATTTCCTACAGGGCACTTTAAAATACACAAATGCGAGTGAATACAGTCTAACCTAACTGTGTGTGTGTAAGCTTATGAAAATCACTTGCAATAAAACTGTGCTATAAATATTTATGGCCGCTAGGGAAAAGTGAAAATAAGGACATCCGCTGTGCGGCAAACAAACCTCGGTGAGCTGGCGGGGGTGTTGCACTAAAAAGCCAGGCAATTGCACACGCCCAACAGTCAGTGCAGTCGTCACTATTATACCTATAATGAATGCCCGCACTAGTTTGCAATTGTTTTGTCCAACATTTGACAGAACTGATTTTGGGTTTCTTGTTGTTATTTTTTTATTTTCGTTGTTGTTTATTAGTGTAATATCGAAGGTAATACATGGCGGATGACATTCATATATACTAAATGTATATTTGTATATATATGCTTGTTTTTGTAGAAATAAGGTGATGTTGCTGTTATGCATACACAATAACAACAATGTCAGTTGCCGTGAGCGCCCAAGAACACATACTAGAAAATCGATGATGAGATTTTATTAAAATGACAAAAGATATTAAAAAGTAGAATGTAATGGGAACAAAGTGGTAAAAGCGAAACGATTTGTCAATGGATCGATAATAATGCCGAGTATATAGTTTACAATGCAGTGGCACTGGCGTAAGCGTGAGAAATTACAGTTACAAATAGCACTTTGTGTATATACGTGCATGTGTGAGTGTGTACTTGTGCAGCTGTTTGCGCTTGCAAACGAAGAAATAGCAAATATTCTGCAACTATATATATTATAAATAGTGTAATATATATTATATATATATATTGTATATAATATGCATATAATATGTATAAAATACACATATGTAAGCATGAAAGCAGCGTGTCAACTAAAAATGGCACAATTGAAGCGCATATACCAATACATGTAAAAGTTGAAATAATTTTTTGTGCATTGTTGTTGTTGCTAGAAAAATACTTTTACACTTTTTATAGTAATCTAAATGCTAATTATTTACAATACAATGGCACAATAAATATACTTCGTCTTAATTGGTATATTTTTGTAATGCAATTGCATTGTGTGTGTGTATGTATTGATATCGCCTGCAGTTGCTGCGGCAAACCCTCGAAATTTTCTACCAATTTAGTAGTAACCTTGCGGTTTGCAATTGTAGTTATCGCCTTAAAAAGCATTTATGCGGTGAACTGAAAGTGAAATTCTGTTGGGAATTCGTGCACGGCATGCGACTTGAGGAGATAGTGAGTAAGTGCAGACACGACTTAGACTGTCTTAGCTGATATTTTGACTCTAAACTGCAGTGATTTGCTATGAAATGGCAAGAAAGTAATAATACTGCAAAACTATATCTAAAGCAAATTTTTCGATTATGAAAATATTGTAGATAAAGTGCAAATCTTGAATACTGATGCGCATAAATTGTTGTCATTGCATTTTAGAAATGAATTTTTCACGAAAATAGTGCGGGTATGCTTCGTATTACCAATTTATACACGCTATTATAAATATGAATTATTAAAGACTTGAAAATTGTTTAAATTTTGACAAATTGCTAATTTAATTATAATTTTATAATTATATTTAAATAATCAATATGCCTTTAGCAGATATATGTGGCAGTAGTGAAAGTGTGTGCAAATGATGGATGAGCTGGCCACAGAAACACTGAATCTTTAGTGGAACACTTTAAAGTACAGAAATGCTCTACATAAACTCAAAATGTGCCTTCCAATACTACTGGTTTTGTTCAAAATCTTTTTAAAATTCATATTAAATATATATTTTTCAAAATTTTTTTTAAGCCACAGACACAAATTTTTCAGTAAGAAACTGCAAAATTTTCGATTATAAATAAAGAAATGAATTCAAATACATACATACATATATGTACCTCTCCATATGGATGTATTCATGTATGTACCTTAATTGGTGCCAAATGTTGTGATCACAAATTGCCAATGCGCAGAATAAGTCAACCTTGCAACGCAATTAGATATAAATAAAAATAAATAAACTATAATACAGCGAACAGTATGCAAACAAGACCCAATTTACTTTCTAACAAGGTGTGGTCCATTTACGGAGCGTTGTTGTAGCTTGAGACATCGCGTTTCCTGCAAGTAAAAGCCATAAACATCTAATAAAACCAAAAAAAAAAATAAAATCTTGATTTTAATTATCAAAGTGAGCATTGCATTTTTTTTTTGCTACTTTGTTTATAAGTGAACGCCAAATATCGCTTCTAGGTATTGTATTTTTAAATAATATTAAGGCAATTTCAAACAAAAATTTACTTAATGAACTTGCATGTACATCTCCCTCATAGAAGATTCTGCGATATAAGTGGTCGAATTTTGAATTATTTTTTGAAAAATACAAAATTTTTTTAACATTTTTGTAATTTATTTACTTATCTAAGCATATAACTTTGATAAAAATTAAAATATATATATATAATAAATTTCGCCAAAAAATAATTTAGAAGTAATAGTTACAACCGTAAATGTTTTGGTAAATAAAAAATACAATATATTCCTAAATAAAATATAAAAAAATTAAAAATAAATCAAAAATTATACAATCATAAAAATAATTTTAATTTATAAATTATTTGAATAAATTATCTAATAATAAAAAAAATTTTATTACTGCTCATATAACATTAATAAAAATAAACAATTATTTTTCACCGAAGAATATTTAAAATAATAATTTGAGAAATTATTTCGATAAATTAAAATACAAAATTTAATATTATATAATATAATACTAAAGAAAAAAATAAATAATTTTTATCTTAATCGTCTTAAATAAAAATAAAAAAATATTTACCAAAACTTATTATTTTCTTAAATTTTAACTTCGATTAAATTAAATTTTTTTATTGTTTATATTTTATTTATTGCTTATAGTAAAACTGTGACAAAAGAAATACTTATATAATAATTTTTCTTATTATATAACATTTCCTCAAAGAAAATCAAAAATAACAACAAAAAACCGTCTAAAAACTATTATTTGAATTGTTTTAAAATCAAAATAATTATTAAAAATAGATTAAAATGAATATTTGAAATAAGTTTAATGTATTCAGTTCTAAATTTATTTAAAAATATTTATTTAAAAATTACAAAATAATGTTAATTAATATAAAATCATTTGCATTTAAAAATTATAAAAAAACATAATTACTAATAATATATAATTAGTTTATTAAAAAAGTATAAAATTTTCCAGTATTCAACAATTATAAAAAAAATACTCAAAACTTGTTAAAAAGATTGAGCTTCAAAATTTTAAATTATAGTATTTCTTAACAGCTGATAGAAATTTAT